CTTAATTGAGTGCAATTGAAGTTTGGGTCCAACATTGCGAATTTTGTGTAAGTTTGGGTCCTTATGTCATATTTATGCCTTCCTAATTTCCTGGTTGTGTCCTTTTTATCTAGATATACGATCCATTTCTCCTTTTCTAGATTGCACCTCTTTCTCATTGACCTTTTTAGTCACTCACGCGTAAGAAATATGAAAATTTGCTGACCCAAAAAAAAAAGAAGGAAATATGCAAATTTTAAAAATATAAAAAATGTTCAATTACACTCATAAAATACAAAATAAGTTTTAATTATATCTAATTAATTTATTACGTAATTTGTTAAAATGTTCTCATTTTTAATATTTTTATGTAAATTACTCTAACCATCTCTAATTAATTTTAGATTTGTTGTTGATAATCTAAGTAATACCGTGATGTTTGAGCGAACTTGTTTTTCTAATGATTCCCTTCCTTGCGTTGTTTTCAAAATCGAACCGGAAGTTAAACCGTTTTGATTTTTGATTTACAATTTTGGTGATTAAATCGATTCAACCGGTAAAAAAATCAAGTTGATTGCATTTTGATAATATATATTAAATATAATGGGTTAAATACCTTTTTTAGTCCCTCTACTATAGAAAAAAGCTCTTTTTTGGTCCCTGTACCGAAAAAATCTCCTTTTTGATCCCTAAATTTTAAAATTCGGCTCATTTTTAGTCATTCCGTTAATTTTTGTTCACATAGCACGTTAACTTAATTGGAACGGCTGATGTGGATATGCCAATATGTCAAAGATGCTTACATGGATTTAATGAAACCCTCCATGTCACCCTCTCTTGCGTGGAAAATTAAAAAGAAAAAAAGGTTAAATACTAAATTTGATTCCTCAACTTTATAAGTTTGCACTTTTTTTGTCTTAAATTATTATTTTTTATTTTTTTATCCTTTAACTCTAAAAATTACATAATTTTAGTCCTTTCATCAATTAAATATGACGTGACAATTAAATAATTTCATTTGAAATTTTCTTTTTATTTTTTTTATGACATGGCAATTATATATATATTATATTATATTTATAGTATATAGATAAATAAAAATATCATGTAAATAAATATTTATATTTTAATTAAAAAATAAAATTACATTACTACCCTCATCTCCTAATCCTTTTTTTCTTCCCCTTCTTTCTTTCTCTTTTCTTCTTTCCTACCCAGATCCCTCTTCTTCCCCTTCTTTCTTTCTCTTTCTTTCTTTCTTACCCAGATCGGCTGGGTTCTGATGAGCTGGGTGGCTGGGTTCTGATGAGCTGGGTGGCTGGGTTCTGATGAGCTGGGTAGTTGGGTTCTGATGAGCTGGGTAGCTGGGTTCTGATGAGCTGGGTAACTAGGTTCCGATGAGCTAGGTAGCTGGGTTCGACGAAACCCAGATCTGTTGGGTTTTGTCGAACCTAGCTTTGCTGGTCGCCCGAACCCAACCTTGCTGGGTTCATCGAAACCGAGCTGTTGGGTTTCGCGTGACCAGCAAGGCTAGGTTTCAACGAACCTAACCTTGTTGGTCGCGTGAACCCAGCCTTACTGGTTGCGCGAACCCAACCTTGCTAGGTTCGTTGAAACCCAGCTGCTGGGTTCGTGCGACCAGCAAGGCTGGGTTTCGACCAACCCAACCATGCTGGTCGCGCTTGCTGGTTTCATTGAAACCCAGCCTTACTGGGCTTTGACACTGGGTTCATGTTTTTTCATTCTTGTTTTGATTTTCATTTTCGGTTCTTGATAAATTTGAGAGTTGATTTACAATTTGATTGCATTTTTGTTGGAATTGGATTAGAGTTTGATTGCATTTGTTTATTGAAGGGTTAATTTGATTTGGTGAGATCTATTGGCTTGATGAACTCAGTGGCTTTAATGAAACTAGTAACTGGGTTCGATGATAGAGAACTCAAATTTTGCTTTGGAGCATTTTAGGGTTCATAGTTTTTTTGCAGGTTTTAGTGAGTTTGATTTGTGAGAATATGAACTCTCAACGTCATAGCATTTAACCTTTTGTGGGTCCACCAGCAGTTGGGTTTCGACGAACTCAGCCGATCTGGGTAGGAAAGAAGAAAAGAGAAAGAAAGAAGGGGAAGAAGAGGGATTAAGAGATGAGGGTAGTAATGTAATTTTATTTTTTAATTAAAATATAAATATTTATTTACGTGATATTTTTATTTATCTATATACTATAAATATAATATATATATATAATTGCCATGTCATAAAAAAATAAAAAGAAAATGTCAAATGAAATTATTTAATTGTCACGTCATATTTAACTGATGATATACTATAAATATAATATATATATATAATTGCCATGTCATAAAAAAATAAAAAGAAAATGTCAAATGAAATTATTTAATTGTCAGGTCATATTTAACTGATGAATGACTAAAATTATGTGATTTTTAGAGTTAAAAGATAAAAAAAAATAAAAAAAAATAATTTAAGACCAAAAAAGTGCAAACTTATAAAGTTGAAGAATCAAATTTAGTATTTAACCTTTTTTTTTTTAAATTTTCCGCGCAGGAGAGGGTGACATGAAGGGTGTCATTAAGTCCATGTAAACATCTTTGACATATTGGCATATCCACATCAGCCGTTTCAGTTAAGTTAACGTGAGCAAAAATTAACAGAAGGACTAAAAAGGGGCTGAATTTTAAAATTTAGGGATCAAAAAGGAGATTTTTTGGGTACAGGGACTAAAAAGGGGCTTTTTCCTGTAGTAGAGGGACCAAAAAAGGATATTTAACCAATATAATATAATGCAACATATTTCAGAATGCTAAAAATAGCTTTGGTGGCTAGGAGCCTTTATTAATTTCACACAAAACTTGAGTTCAAATCTTAGTATTAAATTTATTCATTTATGTAATTTTATTATAATAAATAAATCTCAAAGCATTATGAGTCAATATACTAGGTTCAAATTAAGTGACAAGAGTTGTTCTATATAAGTAAGAGGTTAAGTGCTCAAATCTCATGGAAGTAACTTTAAGATTTTCCTTTAGTCTTTCTAATGTTCTTTAAAATATAGTCTTTGTAACCTATTTCAAAACCTAAGGAGGTCTCGTGTTCGACATCCAATGGCATCAACAAATCTCTCAAAATTGGTTCCAATAGTTGGTCTGGTCGATTGATCGGTTGGACAATTCATTGGTTCTTATGGTTTAGATGAGTTGAATGGTTTTAAACGGTTTAATCTCCTAAAAGATTTTAACTATCAACTCTGCCCGTTTTTACTATTAGGTATCAGTCTAAGCGATTCAATCGGTCGATCCGATCTGATTTTCAAAACATGGCTTCCTTAGACATAATAATGTAATCACTAAAAAAAGCTTGACTAATTTGCACTGATTGATAGTAATATATTGTTAAAAACAACCTCTTTTTTATAAGATTATTAAAGATATTAAAAGCTTCTACCATTTAGCTGGGTAAGATTAAATTAAACATGACAGCAAATTACTTTATGTAACTTTTTCTTTTTTAATGTTGAGGTTGTTATCGGTCACCTTTTAATTTTTTACATTAAAATTTTTTTTTCCATTAATTTTAAAAATACATCACCCACCTCAATTAAATATATTTAAAAAAATTAACTTAATTAAATATTATCCCAAAATTTAAAATTTAATTTATAAAACAGTAATTATTAATAAATCAAACCTTTGACAGTTAGTTTATGTGATAATAACTTGCTATTGGGTAGATAAACACGTGAATTTGTTTGAACGCGTCAATGGCTTAAAGAATCAAAGACAAATAATAAAAAGAACAATTTGGGGAAAATGTGGCTGCTATATTTTTGACCTTTGGACCGGGAAATTGATTATTACATATTTGATAAATCTCTCCCGCACCACCCCCACCGAAGAACTAGCAAGTCGCAATTTGCAGAGAGTTTGACCAAAAAGCTGCATGTTTTTCTTTTGCGAATTTTTTTTCCTACCGTACATTTAGAAACTATACCATTATATATTAAAATAATATTTTACAATTTAAATTATGTAGAATTAAGGTTTTTTAAAGTAAATTATATATTAAAAATATAATTTATGTTATAAATTTATTTAAATATTTTTAATAAAATAATATAAAAATAATTTTATTAAAAATATTTAAGTAAATTTATAAAATAAATTATATTTTTAATATATAATTTGTCGCTTTACTTAAATAATATTTTTTTAAAATTATATTAAATTTAAAAAATATTTTACAGTTTAAATTATTTTAAATTATAAAATAATATACTAATATTATATTATAAAATATTAATTATTAAGTTAAGAAGTGTCCTTGACACTAAAAAAAGATTTTTTATATAATAATTAGTATTTTATCATCTTTAACTCATTGTATTTTATTTTTTCCTCTTCTTGTTAAAAGAGGAGGGGATGGAGTTGGTGGGAGTGGGGGTGGGACTTGAATTCGCCACCACCAAGCTGTCTCCCACTTGCATAAGGCTCGGGCGTTGCTAATTTTTTTTTTTTCTTGAACAATAAGAAATCTTTAAAAAAAAAAAAAGAAAAAACTTGAGATTAAAACCTAGGACTTGATAATTCTAAACACGTTATGCAAGGAGGGGTCAGTACCGAACTGCTTGACCTGGCGTTGCTAATTTGGAAAGCTGCCTTTTAAGAATTGAAATATATATATAGTTACGTTGTTTTACCGTACAAATTGTTTTGACTTGCATACCAAGAATCTTTTGACGGAGGGAGAGACCAAATGATATTAAGGGCATGTTTGGTACAACGGTTAAAATTCAGTGGATAGTAGATAACGGGTAGTGGATAGCGGGTAGTGGATAGTGGGTAGCAGATAGCGGGTAGTGGGTAGCGGGTAGTGGGTGGCG